GGAAGAGAGCAGAAAAATATTTATTCAAAACTCAGTTGCTTTTCTCCTGGGGCTTCCACTCTTGCACCATTGCAATTCATTCTTCACATAACAGCCAAAAATAAAAACAGAAAAAGTGATCCTTTTGGTTTTTTTTTTGAGACAGGGTCTCACTCTGTCACTTAGGCTGGAGAGCAGTGGTGCCATCTCTGCTTCCCAGACTCAGGCAATTCTCCCACTTCAGCTTGCCAAGTAGCTGGCACTGTAGGCGCGTGTCACCACACCTGTGTAATTTTTTGTAGAGATGGGGTTTTGCCATGTTGCCCAGGCCAGTCCCAAACTCCTGGGCTAAAGCAATCTGCCCACCTTGGCCTCCCAAAGTGCTGGGGATTGCAGGGGTGAGCCACTGCGCCTGGACCAAAATGATCTTTTGAAACTATAAACCAGGCCAGACGCAGTGGCTCACACCTGTAATCCCAGCACTTTGGGAGGCTGAGGCGAGTGGATCATGAGGTCAGGAGTTTGAGACCAGCCTGGCCAACATGGTGAAACCCCATCTCTACTAAAAATACAAAAATTAGCCAGGCATGATGGCGGGTGCCTGTAATCCCAGCTACTTGGGAGGCTGAGGCAGAAGAATCTCTTGAACCTGGAAGGTGAAGGCTGCTGTGAGCTGAGATCACGCCACTGTGCTCCAGTCTGGGCAAAAAGAGCAAGACTCCATCAAAAAAAAAAAAAAAAAAAAAAAAAAAAAAAGAAGAAAATATAATCCACAGCATGTCATGACCCTGCTGAAAATCCTCCAATGACTCCCCATTATACTTTGAATCTCATCTACCTAAAGGACACAGCCCTATGAAATCTAGTACCCATCTGCCTCTCTAACCTCATTTCACCCCCTACCCTCCACCTTTTGTCACAGCGGCCGCTTTCCTACTCTTCAACATACTGTGCATGTTTCTACCATAGAGCCTTTGCACTAGCTGTTCCCTGGCCTGAAATGCTTTCCCCCATCTTTGCATGGCTGACTTTACTTGTCGTTCACATCTCAGCTTCAATTTTGCCTCTTCCGGGGCCTTTCATGACCAGCCCATCTAAAGGAGCCACTTAGTCACGTTACTGCATCATCCTCTCTTATTGTCTCCCTTCATTAGAATGTAAGCCCCATGAGCTCACATCTTATTTGCTGCTGTAGCCTTGGTACTACAACAGTTCCTGATATTGCTACTGACACTGTACTAGGTGAAGGCCCTTGAATAAGTGACGTGACCTCTCTGAGCTCTGGCTGAAGAGAATATTTGGCTGTCTCCTAACTAGAAGCACTGTAAGAGAACTGAAATAAAAATGAAATTGTACAATATGAATTATGACTAAGAGGCGGCTGTCTTCATTCATGTCCCTCTATCCTAGAAGTATCTCATCAAACTCTGTAGGAGACCTTGACCACAGCCTTCTAGGCTTTGAGATGGAAAGAAATTGAAGGGCATCTGACTACCCTTCCTCACCTACTCTCCCAGGTATTTATGGTATGCGTCATTAACCACATCGAAAATAGTTCCTGGGGGGTGAGGTGAACACTTTGCCTTTGAAACCCCACAAGCTTCATGCATGGGTATCTTCCTTTGTTCAACTTACCTTCAGAACTGACATTGAACTCTGATACCTTCAGACTAGCCTCGGACCTCTCAGCCGATTTCCGCCTGAAATTAGGCCAAACAATATAATAGTAATGGATACATTTTATGGGGGTCGGGGGTGAGAGAGACAAACACTTCTGTCTTCAAACAAGGCTTTGGTTTCTTGTATTTCTTCTAGGGTCAGGTTTGGTCATGATGCAGCAAGGAAATCTGTTCCTAACTTGGACTTGGTTGTCTAACTCTCATCCCTTCTATTACAAGGTAAGCATAATGCAAAACATACTGAACTTAGATTCAAACATATCTGAACCTGCAACTTATGAGCCAGGTGACCTTGGGGGTAAGTCAATTTAGTTCTCTAATGCGGTTCAGTAATGTCTGCTCAATGCTTTAAAAGATTTTCATGTGGAATAAGACTTCGAATGCTTACAATAATAGCACTAAGACTAATAATAGCTAACAGTTAATTATATAATGCTTACTATATGCTAGGCACTGGTATTAAGATCTTTACATGAAGCACTCAATAAATATTAGCTGCAAAGAAATCACATGGAATCGGCTAGTTATAACCTGCCCTAACTGGTGGGAACGTTACCTATTCTTTCCATCAAGGGAACTGATTGCTTCCAGAAGCTTCTGATGCTTTCTCTCTCCATCACCGTCCCCCTAAGACACAGCAAAAGAAAAACTATCAGGATGAGCGGGAGGGAAAAGACAACATGGAAACTGAGGCCCACGTAAAATCTCTCGTACTCTTGGTCAGTGGAGAACTGGGGAACTGGAAGAGGTCTGGTGTGCAAACATTTCAGCTCAAACTAAAACGGAGGTAATGTCATGCGTCTGTCCTAACTTTCTTTGGGACAAAAAGGGCTTAGAATGGTGTTTCTGTATAAAATATATAGTATCATCTAACACAGAAACCCTGACATGTAGTGTAAATCATAGCCAGTTACCGAGTTGGCTTTTTTCCTTTGAGACAGAGTCTCACTCTGTCTTGCCCAGGAGGGAGTACAGTGGTTCGATCTCAGCTCACTGCAACCTCCACCTCCTGGGTTCAAGCGATTCTCTTGCCTCAGCCACCGGAATAGCTAGGATTACAGGTGCACACCACCACGCCTGGCTAATTTTTGTATTTTTAGTAAAGATGGGGTTTCACCATGTTGTTCAGGCTGGTCTTGAACTCCTGACCTCCAGTGATCTGCCCACCTTGGCCTCCCAAAGTACTGGGATCACAGGCATGAGCCACTGCGCCTGGCTTCCAAGTTAAGTTGCTTTTTCCTAGGAAGAACACAACCACCAGAAAAAAAGACAAAAAAAACCTCTCCTTGTTATTAATAGATGTGTTGTGTGCCCCCAACCCCAGGAAAAAAAAACACTGGGTGTTTTTTATTTGTCAGGAGAATAAAGAATTGGAATTCCTATAGCATCTGTTGGAGATCCAGCTTAAAATACATATGCATATTTCAGTCAGATAATTAAATAACTCTCTACAGAATTCCAAACTCGGGAAATGGGGAAACATATCATGAGGACCATGTGTGTGTATGTAGTTTTTTTTTTTTTTTTTGAAATGGAGTCTTGCTCTGTTACCCAGGCTGGAGTGCAGTGGCACGATCTTGGCTCACTGCAACCTCCACCTCCTGGGCTCAATAGTAGCTGGGATTACAGGCGCATGCCACCATCAACCACGCCTGGCTAATTTAGCACTTAATATTATACAGTATCTTACATTGCCACACCTTTCCTTTCCAGGAATGTGCTCTCTAACCTAATTTTGAAGGCAGTTTAGCAATTGTCACGCACCTCATCTTCACTCTCACTCAAGAGGTAGTCTTTTGGCAAATCCACTAGTTCTTCCTGTTGGCTCAAAGCCAGAAGGCTGTTAAAAGAAGTAACAAAGAAACGTTCATGCAATATACCCATCTAACAAACCTGCATATGTATCCCTTAATTATAACAAAAGTTGAACTTAAATAAAAAGTATCATTTGAAATAATGTCTAATCCATTAAAACAATCTCAGAAACATTGTAACATATAAAGCAGCGTGAAAGCCTTTGGAAACTTGTCATGACATGAAATTTAGACTCTAGTCAGGCATCACCTCCAAGAGTGCATGTAAAAGAACTAATACTTTTCAGTGATAGGTACAACATTTCCTATGACCTATAGGAAGCTGTAAAAATGTCAAACCCTGGAATAATATGGCCAAAGATGCTGTTGCTGGCCCTGGAGGCAAGGCAGTTTCATGATATATATGTATGTTTTGAGATGGAGTCTTGCTCTGTCGCCCAGGCTGGAGTGCAGTGGCATGATCTTGGCTCACTGCAACCTCTGCTTCCCAGGTTCAAGCGATTCTCCTGTCTCAGCCTCCCGAGTAGCTGAGATTACCGGCGCAGGCCGCTTTGCCCGGCTAATTTCTTGTATTTTAGTAGAGACGGGTTTCACCATGTTGTCCAGGCTGGTGTCGAACTCCTGAGCTCAGGCAATCCTCCCACCTCGGCCTCCCAAAGTGCAAGGATTTCAGGCATGAACCACCGTGCCTGGACTCACGATTAATATTTCTAAGCATCCTCCACATGTTTGACTCCTTGATAGGCAGCCTAATCAAAAGTGTCATCTTGATTACTTGTTTCCAGGAATGGAGAAACAGGTCAAAAGCAGCTGAGTAAGCCATTTCCTTGGGGCTTGCTTAGCAAAGTAGTTGCTTAACTAAGGAGATTGGTACCACAAACAATAAAACTTACTGTTAGCTAACAGCATATATTGCTAGTATTTGCAAAGCCAACATTACTAAAGGGACTACAATTATTTCCAGGGGTGGGGGGCGGGGGCAAGAAACATCACGGGAGCGAAAACGTGGTGGATGACTCCAACCAGCAAAGGTTTCCAAGATTTGAGAAGTTTATAACTCCTGCACTGCCTGCGCAGAGGATTAAATCAGGCCGCGGCAAAGGCAGAAAAAGGGTCACGTGACGAAGAAAGTGAAATAGTAAATGAGCTGGGGAGGCAGAAGCAGCATCAGGACCAATGGGGATGCGGCTATACCGGTGGGGAGCGCAGTAAGTGAATGAAATTAAAAGGGCTTTAAAGGCTGGATCGCGGAAAATAGGAACGAGTGGCCAGTTCTTAAGGGGAACCATTGCCATCTGTTAAAAGGGGGCTCCCATTTCCCAAAAGCTGGGGAACCCGGCCCCCAACGAGTCCCAGACAGAATCCCCCTTCCCGTCTGCCCCTCACCTCTCCGCAAGCCGGTTCGCAGTCATCTCAGCAGCCCTCTTCTCTCACATGGACCAAGAACGGAAGCCGAAGGAAAGCAATTTCCGTGCCGGCCGCAAAGCAATTTCTGCTTTCGTCAATTGCTGGCGACGGAGACGTCACATCCGTTCCGTGTGAGGCGTGTGAGAAGAGGGAGCTGTGTCGGGAGGGGCCTGCAGAAAACGGGGAGGCTGGAGATGAAACGGCTGCCATCGGGTGGGGTTTTCCTTTCTCCACCCGCCGCGTATTTCCCTGGTGCGCCGGTGTCTGTTCTCCCGGCCCCTGGTTTCCACGCAGCCCAAGGTGGGTGAGTTTAGGGCGAGGATGCTGTGCTGTCAGGGGCTGAAACCGCGCCTTCGTTTGTCCCTACCTAATCCAGAAGGAAAGACTCCGGCGCCCGTCCTTGTGCGACGGCGTCCTGCAAGCCTGCCACCAGTCAGCTCGGGGGTTTACTGAATGCCCATTAAGGGGCCAGATTGTGCCAGGACCCGGCGATCCGATAGTGAAAAAACAAGTTTCCTTCCATTTAAGGAAAAATCTCTTTTGATCCCTTGTAATTGCAGCTCTGTTCTTCATTCCAGACTCAAAAGATTTTACCCAAGAATGGGCCGTCGGAAGCTACGCTTCCTAACCGCCCATCAACTTAAAATTTTTTTAAACAACTTTTTTTTTTCCCATCAACTTTTAATAATTTTATTTATTTATTTTTGAGACAGAGTCTCGCTGTGTCGCTCAGGCTGGAGTGCAATGGCGTGATCTCGGCTCACCGCCCCCCACCCCCACTCCAGGGTTCAAGCGATTTCACCTGCCTCAGCCTCCTGAGTAGCTAGGATTACAGGCACCCGCCATACCCGGCGAATATTTGTATTTTTAGAAGGGGTTTTGCCACCTTGGCCAGGCTGGTCTTGAACTCCTGACCTCAGGTGATCTGCCCGCCTTGGCCTCCCAAAGTGTTGGAATTACAGGCGTGAACCACCGCACCAGCCTCATAATCTTTTTTAAAATTAGAGATTGTAGACAAATAATAGACAATAACATTCTTTTCATTCTTTTAAGCCATCCCATTTGCCTTCCCCATTATTCCACAGAAATTGCTCGGACAAGATCAGGGACACCTAAAGTTGCTAAAGAAATGGATACTTCTCAGTCTTTGGCTTCCCAGAACTTTGTGTGGCATTTAATACTGTTGATTTGTTTTCTCTTTTCTTTTCTTTGGGAGATGGAGTTTCAATCTTGTTGCCCAGGCTGCAGTGCACTGGCACGATCTCCACTCACTGCAACCTCTGCCTCCTGGGTTCAAGCGATTCTCCTGCCTCAGCTTCCCAAGTAGCTGGAATTACAGATGCCCGCCACCACACCCAGCTAATTTTTTATTTTTAGTGGAGACGGGATTCCTCCATATTGGCCAGGCTGGTCTGGAACTCCTGACCTCAGTTGATAAACCCGCCTTGGCCTCCCAAAGTGTTGGGATTACAGGCATGAGCCACCGAGCCCAGCCGATTTGTTTTCTTATTTAGGAAATGTTTTTAGCTATCTACTATGTGCCAGGCCTCTAGGCATTGGGAATACATTGGTGAACAAAGCAAATATGTCCCATGCCTTTCTAGACCTTACTTTCTAGTGGGGTTAAAGACAATGTTGTCATTGTTGAAACTCCATCCTGAGATTTCAGGACACCACTTTCCCCTGCTTTCTTAGCCCTGTGACCATCTTCCTCAGTCTTCTCTGCTGGATTGTTTTAATATACTTACTCCCTAAATGATGATGTTTCTGAGAATTCTGCTTTAATCCCTCTTTGTTTCTTACAGATGCTCTTCCTAAGTGAAATTGCCTTTAACACCTTCACGAGAACAAAATTTACATCTCTAGCCCTAATCTCTTTCTTGAGCTCCAGACTGTATCTCTGATTGCCTTCTGGCTCTTCGTTTTGTCCCACAGGCACATCAAACATAAAATTACCAATAATTTCTATTTTTTCCACAAGAGTTCCTTTCCTGAATTTCCCATTTCTATGATTGGCCCATGAACTGAAGTCTGAGAGTCATTTTAGAGTCCCCTCTCCTTTATGCTCTGCAGCTGTTTGCCCACATTGTCAATTTTACTTCCCTGGGTCTCTTTCCGATATCTCCTTACCTTTCTCCATCGTGTTTGCCATTGTATTAGTTCAGACCTTTGCAATTTCAAGCCTGTGGCATTGCAGTAATCTTACAAAAAAGGGAAGCATTATAGCATTTTCATATTCATGAAATGAAATATGAAGAATGAATGAATAAAAAATTCATTTTGTGATGAAGAGCCCTGGTTTTGAAGCTGGACTCTCTGGGTTTGAATCTTAGCTCTGTCACTTACTAGTTTTATAGTTTTTTTGGGGGGGAGAGTGGGTAGAGAGAGTCTCACTCTGTTGCTCAGGCTGGAATGCAGTGGTGTGATCTCAGCTCACTGCAACCTCCACCTCCCAGGTTCAAGCAATTCTTCTGCCTCAGCCTCCTGAATAGCTGGGACTACAGGAGTATGCCACCATGCTCAGCTAATTTGTTGTATTTTAGTAGAGATGGGGTTTCATCATGTTGCCCAGGCTGGTCTTGAACTCCTGAGCTCAGGCAATCTGCCCGCCTTGGCCTCCCAAAGTGCTAGGATTGCAGGTGTGGGCCACTGCACCCAGCCTAGTTTTATAATTTTTGAGTAAGTCCCTTAACTCTTTGTGCCTTTGTTTTCTCATCTTTATTTTATTTATTTATTTAGAGATGGAGTCTTGCTCTGTTGCCCACACTGGAGTGCAGTGGCCTGATCTCGGCTCACTGCAACCTCTGATTCCCGGGTTCAAGCAATTCTGCCTCAGTCTCCAGAGTAGCTGGGATTGCAGGCTCAAGCCACCATGCCTGGCTAATTTTTTATTTTAATTTTTTTATTTTTAGTAGAGTAGTGGCTCACGCCTGTAATCCCAGCACTTTGGGAGGCCGAAGCAGGAGGATCACTTGAGCCCAAGAGCTCAAGACTAGCCTGAGCAACAGAGTGAGACTCCATCTCTATTTTTAAAAATAAATAAAATATTTGGGAAACAAAACCCCAAAGCAATACAAAAAATACAATAGAACAATATACAGTATTTACAATAGCATTTACATTGTATTGGGTATTTTTTTTTTTGAGATGGAGTTTTGCTCTTGTTGCCCAGGCTGGAGTACAATGGCATGATCTCGCTCACTACAACCTCCGCCTCCCAGGTTCAAGCAATTCTGCTGCCTCAGCCTCCCGAGTAGCTGGGATTACAGGCATGCGC